GAAAAACAAACCCACAGCCACTAAATCAGTTGCAACTCAGAGCAACCCTATATAGGGTTTCTGAGGCTGTGAATCTTTAAGGGAGGGTGGTTATAGCCCCAACTTTCTCCCCCCAGAGTGGCTGGTGGATTTGCATTGCCGACCTTTAGGTTAGCTGTCCAATACTTATCAACACCACCAGGGCTGCTTACAGGGAGATTAGATGAATTAACTCCATTACTTGTCTGGAGTTTAAAAAGTTAACTCAAGTGATTAGGCAGCATCTTAGAGAACCATGTATAGGTGACATACCACCTATCAGCGTTACTTTGCTGATCTGTCTCCTTTCAAGTACTCATATTAATAAGGTTTGTTATGATCACAATAATCTACCATAATTTTGTGATTTTACATTCTAACCCTGATCAGGCTTCCTATATTCCTTCACAAATAGTAAGCTCAGCAAAGCAAAATGTACACTGAAAATTTTCACTGTATTTTTACAAATGAAGGCCAGGTTGATTTTAGTCATTTCACTGCAGTAATGGAAGCAGAATTCAGAATTTGTTTTGATTGAATGGAAAATGGGGAGAAGTGAGGAAACGAAGAAAAAAAATAGAATTTAGAGAGGAGAGAACTAAGACCGTTCCTGGAAAAGTTGATAAAAGGTACAGACGACTTCAGTTTAAGATGAGATAGATTTGAGCCTAGATTTCAGACATAATTTGGGATAAAGACCATTGCATTTTAGAGTAAGTATTTTATATACAAGTGTTTTATAATAAGGATGGGCTGGGCCGTGGGACTACCATTAACTTGGTGTACATCCTTTTTTTTTTATTAAATATGGAACACTTCATGAATTTGCGTGTCATCCTTACGCAGAGGCCATGCCAATCTTCTCTGTATTGTTCCAATTTTAGTGTATGTGCTGCTGAAGCAAGCACTTGGTGTACATTCTAAACCAAGCATACTTAATAAATAAATTTAAACATTTTCCCTTCCATCTATTTTCCTCAAAAGAAGGCAAGGAGAAGTATATAGAAGGGAAATCACAACAGAGTGACACCTCTCTCCTTTCCTTACTGCCTACGGTAATGTAATGAATATAAATACTTGAAGAAGTTTTTCGTGTCTTATATTAAATGCTTATTATATATAGCAATAACATTAATGACACACTATAAAATAGTACATAAACCATGAAATTTTTCTCTGGTGGTAATACTTGCTCATACTCACAATCTCTATGGCTAGTAGTCTATACTAATAAACTGTCTTGCAAAAGCAAAGATTTAGTATGTGAAGTTCTCCTATTCAGATTTAGACACCAAAGCTAAACTGTCAATATACCCATTAATTCTAAACCAGCAATGAAATACCTAGTCAAATATCTAAAGTAAATAATATTAAGTAAGACAAAAATTTAGAGCAGAATTTGGGAAGTTGCTTAGATCACTGGAGCAGCTCTTGATGACCATCATCTGGCTTTGTAATAAAAACTCTAGCAGAAATGTTAACTGTTAAATGTTAGAAGATTTCCAATGAATTTGTTAATCAATTATTTAAAATGTTAGGCTGAAGTTAAACTTCTTAAATGATTAAATAGGCTATAGTCAGAAAACTTTTTAATAGGCCAAAATAAAAAGCATAAGCCCAGTGAAAAGAGGGAGGGTTGCAGATTGTACAGGTGAAAAAGATATTCAAAGTGGTCTAGTATCTAGCACATCTTTGGCACAGGGCTGAGATCAGGCAACCTAATTTTGTGAGAAGATTGTGTAGGTTCAATGAGTTTCTAATCTAGAACTGGGATCAGCCCTCCAGTCATAATCATTTCAAAATCTCAATAAAGTCACAAATTACATGAAGATTTGTGTTTTATCATTCCAAAACAAATTACAAATGCATTTATATAAGAAAAATGATAATTGAAAAGTAGTTTTCAAATTTGACTAAGTGACAAAAAATAAACAGTTAACTATAAAGTTGATTGAGTTTTGGCCAAAATTATCATTTAACTCCTTACTTCTACCAAATATTTTATGAGGGAAAACCAAATGATTTTATAATAACATCTAGACCAAGCCTAAAATTCTGAGTATGTATAAAAACGGCTTAAGAAAGGATCTATTACCAAAAAATTGAAAGTCAAAGATTATTTAAAAATGAATTTAGCATGATCCAATTTCATGAACTTTATCAAAATATAAATATGGGTTTATATACTGTATACAAAGTTCAAAAGAGGATTACAATGTCGCCTCCCTCCCCAAACAAAATAAAATTAGAGAGAATTACTTACCGCTATAATATCTAATGTATTATCACAGACCTTTCTGATTTCATTGTTTTTATCATGCATCAGATCTATGAGATATGCTGGAGCCTCTGAATAAAAATTGTTAAAGAAAGAAATTGCTTTCAGACTGAGAATATTTAATTATATTATAAAATCCTGTGTTTCTCTAGATTCCAGTGCTAAACTTGTAATTTTGAAGTAAAATCATAAATACAGAATGATCAGAAACATTTAACAATTCACATGTTAAACATAAAAAAAATGAAAACCTAGATAAGAGTGGGTAAGGAAAACACACCCAAAAGATCACAGAAAGACTACTTTCTGAAAACATGACACTGAGGAAAAGAATGCAGAGGGACTTCCAGAGCTGTGTAGCTATGAATGCTTTCTTGATCCATCCTGCCCCGCCAAGTTCATGAGAATCAATTTCACACAAAAACAACTAACAGCAACAACCACTAGGAATCACAGTCCACATAAAATTATTATAAGAGAAAATATGGTAAAATGTATTCTTCAAATATGATAAGAATATTTAACCTACTATTTCAAGAAGAGATAAAACAATTTTAGAAAATGTCAAACTATATATGAAAAACCACATTAAGTGGGAATTAGAAAACCAGGAAAATATGGGGGAGAATTAAAGATAAAAGTAAAAATTTCATTTATATGAAAACTAAATTCGAGGTAACACAGGAGTAAACAAATGCAATGAATACAACCTTAAGAGCATTCCAAAAAGCAAACTAAACGCAAAGACTGAGTTGCTTCTGACTCACAGCAGCCCTGTAGGGCAGGGTAGAACAGACCCTGTGAGTACCTGAGACTGCAACTGTACAGGAGCAGCAGCCCTGTCTATCTCCCTAGGAGTGGATGGTGGTTTCCAATTGCTGACCTTGGGGATAGCAGGCCAGGCCTCCTTAGAAGGTAAGAAAAAAGAATGAAAGGAAGGAAGGAAGGAAGGAAGGAAGGAAGGAAGGAAGGAAAGAAAGTTAGGAAGAGATATAATGAAATTATAAATTTTAAAGACAAACCAAGATGATCCAGCAAAAGAGAAATCCCAAAGAAGACAACCAAAACAAATATTAAGATAGGCAATTCACAAGAACTTTCCTGAAATAAAACAAGGCTTAAAACTACATCTCAAAAGATCACATTTGCATACTTGAAAAATTAAGCAAAGCCAACTAACAAGTCAAATTCTAATAAGCTACTTGATTAAAGAAAAA